CAAGATGCTAGAGAGGCTCATTCTTGAAGTCCTTTTTGCTGACAACTGTGCACTTATGGCACTCAAGGAATCTGATCTCCAGCTTATCAACAAGTTTGCTGAAACCACTCGCCTCTTTTGTTTGACCATCAGCCTAGGAAAGACCGAGGTACTGTTTCAGCCTGATCCAGGATTTGCTGCTCTCCCCCCTTCAAACTCTATTGAAGGAACAGAGTTAAAAACAGTGGACGAGTTTAAGTACCTCGGCAGTGTGATAGCCAATGATGGCTCCCTTGACAAAGAAATCAATGTCAGGATCTGCAAAGCCAATCAGGCATTAGGATGTCTGAGAGCACAAGTGTTGAATCTGCACAATATTCGACAGTCCACTAAACTGAAAGTGTACAGGGCTGTAGTCTTGACCAACCTCCTGTATGGATATGAAACCTGGACCTTGTACAGAAAACATGTGAAATTACTGGAGCGCTTCCACACACGCAGCCTGAGGTCATTACTGCACATTTGATGGCAGGGCAGAGTCACGAACTTGGAAGTCCCTGACAGAGCAAGAACCATAAGCACTGAAGTCATGATTCTGAAAGCCCATCTTCATTGAACAGGTCACATCATTCAAATGGAGGAGTCAAGAATTCATAAGCAACTCCTCTATGGAGAACTCTCCCAGGGCAAAAGGAATCAAGGTAGGCCTCGCAAGAGGTATAAAGACTGTGAAAAGGTCAACATTGCTCATGCTGGATTAAAGCCAAAGCAGCTAGAGCAGCATGCAGAAGACCAAAGAGGCTGGTGTGCATTCATACAACATGGCTACGTCTACACTGGCATGAATTTCCAGAACTGCTTAAAACGGAATACTATTCCGTTTTAAGTTTTTCCGGAAAAGGAGCGTCTACATTGGCAGGCTGCTTTTCCGGAAAAGCCCTTTTCCGGAAAAGCATCCGTTGCCAATGTAGGTGCGCTTTTCTGGAAAAGAGCCCCGATCTTCATTTTCGCGATCGGGGCTTTTTTCCGGAAAAGACTACTGGGCTGTCTACACTGGCCCTTTTCCGGAACAGTGTTCCGGAATAAGGACTTATGCCCGAGCGAGAGCAGAATAGCTTTTCCGGAATAGCGGCTGATTTTGTACAGTAGAGCATCGTTGCTTTTCCGGAAATTCAAGGGCCAGTGTAGACAGCTCGCAGCTTATTCCGGAAAAGCGGCTGATTTTCCAGAATAAGTGGCCCAGTGTAGACACAGCCCCCATGTGTATGACAGCTTCAAAGAGCAGTGACGCATACACCTGATTGATGCTCATGAGAGGAAAAAAGCAAAAGTAGCTGCCACACTGACAGAGCCAGGACAATTCCTTTGACCCTACTCAGAGCTGGCCCAAGCTATGGGCTGACCGGGCTACCGCCCGGGGTGCCCCATTGTAGGGGGCGCCATGCAGGGCTGCCGGGTTGGGGCAGGAGTGGCGCCGAGCATGCTCTGTGCACCCGGGGCAGCGCCACACATGTGCCGGGCACCTAGGGGCGGGGTCATGCATGAGCCGCGTGCCTGGGGCAGGGCTGTGCATGCACTGGGCACCCAGGGCCGGGGGGGCGCCATGCACCTGGGGGCGGGGCCACGCATGCATCACACTCCTGGGGATGGCACCACGCTCCCAGGGCCTGGGGCACACAAATGGCTCAGGCTGGTTCTGCCCCTACTGTGAACGTCCATGCCGTTCAAGGCTTGGACTCCTTAGCCACATGCGAGTCCACAAACAATGAGCCTGTTCAAGTTCAAGAAATCATCGTTGGACATGACGGACAACCAATAATAATAACCTTTTGTTTATCGTTCCTATTTAAATGGTAAGCTCTTCAGGGTAAGGACTGGCCATTGCTTCATATTTGTGTCCGTTTCTAGTACAATGGAGTCTAATTCTTGGTTTGTGACTAAATGCTACTGGAATAGTGTGTGTGTGTTTTATAGAAATATCCCTAAAATCAAGTATCTTGGGTATTGCTATAGGTGGAGGTGTTATATTATTGTCTGTACTCATTATCCTGTGTATTGAAATACGTCTCTGTAACCATGCACTGCTTTCCTTTACTATTCTGTTCATAATAAAGTTAACAAGAGTCCGAGGTGTTTTTTCTGGCTCCTCTCATATCCAAAAGCTGAACCACACGACATCCCTTCATGAGGTGAGGTGTCAGCCAATGGTCAGGGCAGTATGTGTGTGTATGTTACACCTGAGTCTTCAACTGCTGGGACACAAGGTCCTGTCACAGCGGGCAGCCTAGGGAGGCTGATGGACGCCCCGAGGAGTTTAACATCCATGTCTTTAACCGCTAGGATCAGGATCCCTTCTCAGTGGGCAGCCAACAGGCCGACAGACGCCCTAGAGTTTATAGGAAGAGCTTATTACATCTCAGATTTTGACCGCTAGGATACAGGATCCCTTTACAGCGGACAGCCTAGGGAAGGCTGAGAGATGCCCCTGCGGATCTGTCCTCTGGAAGCGACACGATCCAAATGCCCCAGCTCTTCCTATATCTTTCCCTTATGACCAGCTGAAGTTCTTTTAAATTGGGCTTGGTTCTGTTACAGCAACTGAAGGAGTCAGGTTAAAGCTTAAACAGTTATAGGTTTATTAAAGAAGCTTATAAATCATATGGTTACAATGGCTATTGCTCTATTTCTTAACTGCTAGCAAATACAGATCTTAAATGGTTACACAGGAAAAAGGAAGATAGGAAATAATGGTACCAAGTGACAGCTTAATCTTTAAAGAGCTCTATTCTATGCATGCATTAAAATCAAAAGGACACATACAGGTACAATTTTTACCCCCTTCTGCATCGCTCGGTCCCAGCGTGTCAGGCCAGGATCGGTCCCTCAATTCCTCGGAAAGACGAAATATGAGGTGGGCATCCCCGTGGACCTCGGGAGGTCAATCACCTAACCTGACCAGCAGATAGATGGTAGATTGATGCTCAGAGTGAGTGTGCTGCTGGACCCATCTTTATACCCATGGAGTCACGTATTTCTCATTATTATCTGTGATGCCAAATGGTCCTAGTCCATCTTTGTGATGCCAGTTCTTACAAGGGAGTTGTGAACTTGATTTACATTTGTAAGAGAGAGAACTAAATTGGGAGTACTGGGCATTCTTTTCTCAGTGGGAGATTCCTCTCCCAGGGACGACTGTGTGTGATCATATCAATATAGGTGCCAGCCAGGGCAGTTCTCGCAGCCTCGAGGTCAGCTTATTGCCTTGATCATTCTTTCTCATATCTATGTTTTCAGCTTACCCAGGGTCAGATGAGCCAGCATATCCGTGCCTTGTGTGGAGGCTTCAAAGACTATGCTGATTTTATTGCTTCTTCTCTGCCCTGTATGTAGGCACCTCAGAGGGGCAAACAAGATGGATGTGACAGAGGGGTGGTCTGTCTGGCTACATGAGGAGAAGAGCTATTGAACTTGATGGTTTCGCTTCACAATGGTCCATGAAAATCTCCTCAGATTCAGTTCATCTGAGTTCAAAATCATCCATGTTTTGCTGTAAATATTGGCTCTGAACTGACCCCTAAACTCAAGATGAAGTTCAGATGTTTTCAGAAAAGAATCCCGCAAAACCCCTGCGTCCTACCTGGTTTCTAGACAAAACCACGAACAAGCCCACGTTTGCTCAGAAATTGGACCAAGTTTGCAATAAGAGTTGTGAACTGCGGGGAAATATGCATTAGGATATGAGCATGCAACAAAGCCAAAGACTTTGCTCTTCCCCAAATGACACCTCTAGTCATGACCCTCTCTACTTAGAAGCAGTAGCCGCATATTGTTCAACAGTAATGGATGCATTTCTAAAAAATGGTTTTCTACCCTTTTAAATAACTTGGTTCTGAATTTTCAGCCAATATTAAATCAGCTTCTAATTTTGCTCGTTCTCTTCCCATACCATATGCACATGGTGTCAACCTATATCTAGCTATCCAGGTTGTGCCTGCAAATATCTGTTGGCATATGCAACTGTGTTTTGATCTCTGCAAACTTCAAAGTCATGCCTGAGAAAAAAAATCCGTTGTAGGCAATTCCGATAAAGCATCTTTTCAGCACCTACAGTGTGCGTAAACTACAGTATTAGGTCAATGTATACACCACAGTCTCGCTCCTATCAAGGTAAGTGCCTTAATATGCCACCATGATTCCATCTCCGCAAGAGGTGTAGGGCTTATCTTAGTGTAGTTAGGGTGAAGCATTGTCTCTGTAGACTCTGCATTACTTACATGGATCAATGTCATGGCTTTCATGGACAAGAAACCTGGCTCCTGGCTCCCCAGCAAGACGGCTGCTCAGAGCTCTGCACCCTGCTCCAATCCATGCTGCTGCCCCAGCTCTCGGCTTCCCACTCTGGTAGCTGACTGTATTCCAAATGTTCATCACCCTGCCAAGAGGCTGCCCTACAGGACTCTTGCCCCCCTGGGGCTGCTGACGAGATACTGAGGACTGGGGAGCCAAGATGCAGCTGCCCTGTTTCCAATGGGGAGCAGAGAGCCAAGGGGAAGGCAGCCGGGTTCTTGGTGTAGAGCTGCACGTGAAGCTGAGAGCCTGGATTCTCAGCCACTTAGGAGTGTGGTCAAGCTCATGGTGAGGATGCCCACCTCTGACAGAAGGGCAGCGTGGACATGAAGCACTGCATGAATTCCTCCAGTTCTGTGAGTCAATCCAGCAGGCCTGCCATCGGGGCAGGAAAAGAGGGCCGTTGCCCCAGGTCCTGACAATTCAAAGGAGCCCAGAACTCCCAGCTACTGTTGCTGTGGCAACAGCCAGAGCCCTGGGATCTTTATATTGCTGCACAATGCAGGAGTGTGGGGTGGCTCTGCGTGTGATGGTCCAACCTTGGCCTGCACTTGGGGGGGGGGGAAGGAGGCATGGCCAGGACCCAAGAGACGCGCCCCCACGGAGTCCCTGCTGGGATGCCGCGTTCCCTGCACCCAGCGCAGGGCAGGAGCAGGCGGCGTTTCCCGGCCGCGCCGACAATCCAGAGCATGCTGGGGGTGGGGGAAGCCGGGACGCAGCCCCACCTCCTGCGTCGCGATGCAGGAGGGACGTCAGCACCGGGGGCGGGGCAGATGTTGGGGACACAAACCCCAGCGGGTTATTTAAACCAGGGGCCGGAGCCAGAAGGGGGGGAAGGATGCCTGAAGGCCAAGCCCTCCCCCCCCCGACTGAGGAGCAAGGCCCAAACACTGGAAGAAGACGGAGACAGCCGGCTACAGGCCACCGGCGGAGACGTAAGGGCCGAGGGGCCGCGACCCCATCGGAGCTTGGGGGAGGCTAAGAAGCAGCCCGGGGCAGGGCCATACTGGCGCCCGTGGGCTGATGCGTTACGGGGTGGGACCCCATCAGCCGGGTAAGGGCTAAAGTCCCAAACCCTTAGGGCCCCGGGCTGGGACCTGGTGGAGAGGGAGGGTCCGGGTCCCCCTAGCCTCCGTCCCGCTCCCTCACTTCCTTGATTCAACCGAGCTGTACACACCAGAATCTTTACAGACGGCGGGCTCGCAGGGCCATAACCCTGGTGTGAGAGGGTTACACGCTCATGCCCAAACTAAAAGCCGTCACACCACGAAATAGCTTACAGATGGTGGGCTCTCAGGGCCATAACCCCGGCGTGAGAGGGTTACGCGCTCGCGTCCGAACTAGAAGCCGTCACACCGAGGCTGTGGAGGGGAGGCGGTGTCATGGGCAGCATGGAGGGTTGACTGGCTCTGGACCCACCCTTCCCTCCATGCCCCACTTTTTCTGGGAGTACAGAGCCATCCCCTCCACTTTGCCTAGGGCTCATGCAGACTGTCAGATTCCCTGCAATCCAGTTTAGGTCACCTTCAGTTTAGAGTGCAAATATGCCCTGAAAGTCCCTTGAGAATGTACATTGCATTGTACAGCTATGCCCATCCTCCCCTGCATCGGTTAAATACTTTCTCTTGTCACTAGCTCCTGTTAAATAAGTACTAATGCTATCTGCTTAAAGCTCCCCCATTTTCCAAAAGGCCTTTTTCATGACCACTTCCTAAATCATTCCAGCAAAGCACTGTATGATACTTTGCATATGAAATATCACCTGATTCTACCAGGGATTCTCTTGCATTTGAATTAGGCTGTTGATAGGGCCCAATTCAGCAAACATAAAATCAGGCTTCCAAGTTGTACAGATTTGGCCAAGGCAGTGTGGAATCCAACAAAGCATTTGCTCAATTGGATTATGAATGTATTTCACAGGATTGTTATTTGCATGATCAACACAGAGTGAAACACCTATTCCCACCCTTCAAACCCTTGTGCGCATCTTGATCATCTCTCACCATGATTGTTTTAACTTTCTTCTACCTGCTTGCTTCCGTACTTACCTCTGAATGTTATCTCATGATTGATACAAACTTCCAGTTGCTTTCTGTTGAATACTCCACTGTACTTTACAGACTGGAGAACTGTACAGGAAGGATTCATTAAAGTTGTGGGAAGAGGGGCTATATATTCTGTGCTCTAAAAAAGTGCCAGGTATATTTATGGCAATATGGAGATGTTCATAATTAATGAGAGTTAAATACAATAAAGTAGTCTGTGCCTGAAAGTACCCTGCTCTTAATGGTTAATATATTTATACACCATCTGTCTTATGGCATGGAACCAAAACACATAATTCCTCCACCAAACCATTCTTGCTTCCAGGCAAAAGAGAAGCTGAATTTCTCACTGCATTTTTATGCTCATAGTTCAGATGATCTCACTCACACCTCTGTAAAGTAGGAGCAATCCCGTCAAGGCCAATTACATCACAAAGCGAGAAGAGGATCCCTATCTAAATGTGTGGCGGTGAAATCTCTGCAGCTACAGTGTGTGCTGATCATTAATGGGATGTTACAGAAAGAAGGATAGTGTGGTTGATGCTGTACAAAACACAAATATGAAGGCACTCTGAGTCCTGAGGGCTACGTCTACATTGGCACCCTTTTCCGGAAATGCTTAAATCGGAACAGTTTTCCGTTATAAGTATTTCCGGAAAAAGCACGTCTACATTGGCAGGATGCTTTTCCGGAAAAGCACTTTTTCCGGAAAAGCGTCCGTGCCAATGTAGACGCGCTTTTCCGCAAAAAAGCCCTGATCGTCATTTTCACGATCGGGGCTTTTTTGCGGAAAAGACTACTGGGCTGTCTACACTGGCCCTTTTCCGGAACAGTTTTTCCGGAAAAGGACTTTTGCCCGAATGGGAGCAGCATAGTTTTTCTGGAAAAACAATGACGATTTTACATTAGATCGTCATTGCTTTTCCGGAAAAGCAAGCAGCCAGTGTAGACAGCTGACAAGTTATTCCGGAAAAGCGGCTGCTTTTCCAGAATAAGTGGCCAGTGTAGACACAGCCTTTGAGTTTGCAATCTAAATCAAGGAATTTTAAAGGAGCCTCAAAGAGGTTGATCCCAGCAAATTTCAGTTGAGATGTACGTACCTTTGGAAATGCAAGCCTTAATAAAAGGCACATGGCTCCATTTTTGACTGAGACCTTCTGGAGTAATGCTATTGGTTTAAATGGCTCTATGTGCATTTATTGTGAGTGATGCTGGCAATCTGGCCCTAGAGGACTAGACAGCACTTGTAATGGGAAGTAAAATTTGTGTCTGTGCTGGTTATGTGTCAGTAGAGGTCTCAACTATGGAGGAAATCACAGCCAGTGAAAGATGGCCAGCACAAGGCCTATGGTCAATGCTCCACTTCAATAGCCCTCAAGCCATCAGGCCTTAAATACATAACACTTGTGCGTCCAACTTGCTCTTTCCTTGGACATTAGAAACTGTGCTGGCTCCTCACACATGGGGTGAATTTCACACAGAAAGAATATAACAAAGAACTGGTGAACACTTCAATGTAGAGTCCACGACACAATCCACTCAGACATTCACTTTTCTTCTTGTTGAAAAAGTCTTTTCTTACACTTCTCTCATTCTTTCCAATATTGTACAGTGGAAACAATAAAAAAAATGGAAAAGTGGGAAAGAGGGTTTTTTAAAAAAAAAATTAGGGCCCAGATCAATGTGCCCTCTAGTCATTTCCAGCCTTGTGTGGAATAAATTTTCATGTGCACTGAGGTATGTGAGAATGTGCACCAGCAGTAGAAACAAAACCCATCTGTGGGTGTTTTGCTAGTCAGCTGAGTTGCAGGAGGAGTTGTGAAATGAGGCAGGAGATTGGGGTACAGGGTCTGGATGCGAAGGGGGGGAGAGGGGAGAGGCAGGATTGGGTTATGTGGCATAGAGTGGAGGGAGGATCTGGGGTGCCAGAGGTAGGCTCTGGATAGGAGATGCTTACCTGGGCAACTCCCAGGCAGTAGCCCTGCAGATTTCTCAGGCAGACTCTTTGCCTTCCATGCCCCGGCAAGCCACTCAGAGCAGGCTTCAGGGACATATGCATCTGTGAACAGCTGCAAGCCAGAGGGGAGAGGAAGAAGGGTACTTTGCATGCTGCCTATTCTTCAGACAGACTGCTCCTATTGGCAGGAAACCAGCCAATGGGAGCCACAAGATTGTGCTTGGGATAGAGGCAGGGTGCGATGTCTCTTCCAGCCTCTTCCCCTCTTCCTCCTGGACTCGCAACTATTCAGAGACAAACAGGGCCCTGCCGCTGGCTCTTCTGAGTGGTTTATGGGGGTGCAACAGCCAGGAAGCTTTCCTGAGGCTCCCACTGCACCTGTGGGCCAGATCCAGTGGCTTGATCCAGCTTGCAGACCATATTTTTCCTGGCCTTGAACTACTGCATGCCCCTGAGAACTATGGAAAACTGTTCCATAAACGTGCATGTCCAGAAAAACCAACTCCAAACAGCTCAGGGGTGCTCCCGATACAGAACATCTAACTGGGGAAAAAAATCTGTGGCAATATAAAGAATAAAATTCACCCCGGGAGCAGAGAATCAGAACAAGGATTGCACCACACTTACCTCTAACCACTGCACACAGTTGCAGACTAAGCATTACAAACCATTATTTTAAAGTATACTTAAGCCACCAGACGGAAAAAAAAGCAACCTTAAATGGTGCATAGACCTTAATTTTATCCCATTGTACTGGTGAATCTTACCCAACATCACACTAATACCAACTGTAATCTAACAGTACTTACTAGATAAACAACTAGGAAGTAGAAGTGATACTTACCATAAAAATAGGGCTATGCAAATGTGTCTGCCTAGAGCTAAAAACATCTATTACCCTGAGGAGGAAAAATCTCATTATCTAAAAGCTTCAGGTCATGAAGAGGAAGTACTTACGACACAGTCACAAACACCAATCAATGTCAGTCACCTACCTGGAACAGATAATCACTATAAAGGCAGCAATTACCACTTAAGCAGTCAATTAGAAGCCACTGTATTTTGAAAAGACCAGAGAACCAGCCTTTGTATAAAAGACATGGTCTATTACATTAAAATTCTTTTCTTGATCAATTACTCTCCAGATCCATCAGATGACACTTGTGAAGTGAATGATACTAATGCCAGAATCACAGCTGAACAACAGAATTAATCAAAGCACTGAGGCAATAGCATTGGCAGAGGGATGAAGGTGAGCAGGTGTAATAGTTTTGCTGTCACCAAGTGTCCCATCCTGGCCAGTCCCAGCACTGCAGACAAGCTGTGCCTCAGTTTCCCTACTCATTCCTTTATCTATGCCAATTGCCAAATCCAGAAGGACAGATGACATACCTCAAATCCTGCTAGCATCTCCACCCTCCTTTTCTGTTTCTTGTTCAATGGCAAAAATCAAGCTTATATCGCTACCTTGAATAGCTTTTAACTGGTTCTCCAACCCCATTTCAAAGAAGTTTCATGTTACCATCAGTCCACCAGAACTACTCAATCTGTAGCTCATCTCATAAAAATAGAAGGGAAGATAAAAAAGTACCTGTCAATTGTAGTACTGGTGCTAATGAAGCTAATTGAGTGGGCTGGAAGTGTCCCATACTTAGCTTTTGATGTAAATGGGGTGTTAAATGCATAGAGAGAGAGAGTGGAATTGAACTTCATATACAAATTTGACACTGTTTTCCTGGGCTTGAACAAAGACATTAACCAGGTGTTGCATTATGAAGCCAGACTTCCTTACATTTAACACCTCATAGACATCAAAAGCTAAGTGTGGGATACTTCCAGCCCACTCAGACTCATTAGCACCAGTACTACAATGGACAGGTACTTTTTTTCTTCCCTTCTTTTTCTGTTATAAATTCTAGGGTCCTGTTTTTTCCACTCTAACTTCCAGCTCATCAGAAGATGTGGGTTTTGCCCATAAAAGCTCATGATACTATGCATATATTTGTTAGTCTCTGAGGGCTTGTCTATACTACAGAAAAGTTCGACCCTCCAGAGGTGGATCTTCTAGCGTTCAATTTAGTGGGTCTAGTGTAGATCCCCAAATAGAACACTGAGGGCATGGCTACCCCTCTGAGACTTTTAACATAATCAGAGGCTAATATACAGAAAGAACATGTTAAAAATTACTTAGATAACACTGAGCTGACTGAGCAGATACTGAGCCATTAGCAATTATCATTGAAAAGTCACAGAAGATGGGGGAGATTCCAGAAGACTGGAAAAGGGTAAATAGTGTGTCAATCTATAAAAAAGGGAAATGAGTCAACTGAGGTATTACAAGCCTGTCAGCTTAACTTCAGTAACTGTAAAGATGATCAAGCAAATAATTAAACAAACAATTTCCAAACACCTAGAAGATAATAAGGTGATAAGTTAACAGTCAGCATTGATGTGTGAAGAACAAATCATGTCAAGCCAACCTAACAGCTTTCTTTGATTGAGTAGCAAACCTTGAGGTAAGGCAGGAAGTGGAGGTTGTGATATATCTTGACATTAAGTAAGACTTTTGATATTGGCTCACATGACCTTCTCATAAAAAAGGTAGAAAACCAGAAAGTTACCAGCCCTCCTGCTTTGGCAGAGTCTCTACTAGAATCTGAAACACCAGTGTGCCCAGTAAGGAAACAATGAATGTAATTGTACATGACAATGACCAGATTATTTACTATATTCCACCTCTGGTATTTAAAGGTGGAAGCAGCTCAGACCTTCTCCATCAATCATCTTGTGAACAAATGATCAGGAAATTCTTTGTTCCCAATCAGAAAACTGCAGTACTGTTTAGTTCTTGGAATGGTACTTGGAATAGTACCTGGAATCATCACATTTTTCCCTGTTGAGAGGCTACGTCTGCACTGCAAGGTTTTTGCACAAAAAACGCTGTTTTTGTGCAAAAACCTGTGGAGCATCCACACCTCAGATGCTCCTTTGTGCAAGTAAATCAGCAGTAAAATGGCAGAACAGAGGGCTTTTGCTGGTGTAGGTAAACCTTCTTCTACAAGGTATAACTCCCTATTGCGCTACAGCTATTGTGCAAAAAGGCAAATGTGGTTGCTCCAGAGGGGTTTCTTGCACAAGAAATCCCTATGGGAAAAAGCACAGGTGCTCTGATGGTCATTCTGTTAATGGCCATCAGAGCTTTCTTGTGCAAGAGCATCCATGCAGTGTGGACACTCTCTTGCACAAAAGCACATCACTTTTCCAATATGCTTTGAGGTGTGGACATGCTCTTGTGCAAGAAGTTTTTGTGCAAAAAGCCTGCAGTGTAGATGAAGTCTCTCTGTCCCCATGAATACTAACTCTAATTTTGTGGCCAGTGTGGATTTTCTTCTCTTCAGTACACCTATTTAGCAGAGAAGAGAGTTTCTATATGGCTTGGAGCTGTACATGAGAACCTGGGAAGGAGGAAGACATAAAGGCTACGTCTACATTGGCATCCCTTTCCGGAAAAGGGATGCTAATGTGACGAGTCGGAATTGCAAATCTGTGGGGGATTTAAATATCCCCCGCGGCATTTGCATTTACATGGCTGCCGCTTTTTTCCAGCTTGGGGATAAGCCGGAGAAAAGCGCCAGTCTAGACGCGATTCTCCGGAAAATAAGTCCTTTTCCGGAGGATTTCTTATTCCTACTTTCAATAAGAAATCCTCCAGAAAAGGGCTTATTTTCCGGAGAATCGCATCTAGACTGACGCTTTTCTCTGGCTTATCCCCAAGCCGGAAAAAAGCGGCAGCCATGTAAATGCAAATGCCGCGGGGGATATTTAAATCCCCCACAGATTTGCAATTCCGACTCGTCACATTAGCATCCCTTTTCCGGAAAGGGATGCCAATGTAGACGTAGCCTTTATGTCTTCCTCCTTCCCAGGTTCTCATGTACAGCTCCAAGCCATATAGAAACTCTCTTCTCTGCTAAATAGGTGTACTGAAGAGAAGAAAATCCACACTGGCCACAAAATTAGAGTTAGTATTCATGGGGACAGAGAGACTTCATCTACACTGCAGGCTTTTTGCACAAAAACTTCTTGCACAAGAGCATGTCCACACCTCAAAGCATATTGGAAAAGTGATGTGCTTTTGTGCAAGAGAGTGTCCACACTGCATGGTCTGTGAAAGAGCTCTTTCAGAAAAAGGCATGTGTAGATGGAAAGATCGAAAGAAGAGGAAAGAAGAAAAAGCACAGGTGCCCTAGTGGCCATTTCATCCATAGCAACCACAGCTTACGTACGAGATAGAATCCAGGCAGTCTGGATGCTCTCTTTCAAAAAAGCAGATGGCTTTTTTGATGCACTTTTGCGGTGTGGATGCTCTCTTTCGGAAGAAGTTTTTTCAGAAGATCTCTTCCGAAAAAAGCTTCTTCTGAAAGAAGCCTGTAGTGTAGATGTAGCCAAAGAGAGAGAGCAGCTAAAATGAAGTGCATTGCTCGCAACTGTTGTCAGCCAGGTGGGGTCAGAATAAGGTGTCCTCATAGGTCTCTGGCTCTGTTGATGATGATAACCAGAAGGCTGCTTTCATGTGTGCTCAATGATGTGTGCTGTGTTGATTTGTGCACCAAGTTTCCACAGCAGACCTCAAGAGAGCATTCAAAGACCACAAACCAGATAAGGATTGAAGGTGCCTGGCCAGATTTATTATTAAGTGAAATACAGTAATAGTTGTCAGTAGACTCTACCAAACCACTACATACCTCATAACAATGGAATGACTCGATCAATGGGAAATTTCCATTGCCCCCTCCCCCAAGACACCACTTTATATACAGGTACTAACAACTTACACATCACTGCTGATGTGTCAGGTTTCCACCCTCTGATGTTGTCAGGTTACTACCCTTTGATGCTACTTTGATACCACCCATCACTCTGTAGCTCGTGGTTTGCTTAGAACATCTCTATCCATCATGGTATCATTTTAGACCCTTTCCTGAACCCGGGTCGGTATCTGTGAGGAGTGGGTATCAAGGTCTTTTTCAATGAGCTGGTGGTACCATGCGCTTTCCACTTATGACCAGTACCAATTACTGTTGTACACCTGGGCCTGTTACCAACTAGTGTTTTGCACTCTCCGAGCTGTTCGTGCCAAGTTCTGTGAGCAGGAGCCTGCTTCTTGCTCACAGCTTATCTTTGCTTTATATTAGCCATGTTTTGTCCATTGTTAGCTAGGCCTCAAACCTCAAACCAGGCCTGTGCTACATGGGCTTTTGTTTTAGGCCTTCATCTTACTACATCAACATTAATCGATGTATATATAGCCTAACAGAAAGTGTACATGTTCCATTCACAAATACTCAGTGCTAGATGCCAGTACATGGGCCCAGGTTTACAGTACACAGAAAACTAAATAAACTGTTTTCTTTAGCTTGTTCACAAATGGCAAAATTGTGTCATCTAGCTATAGCTCTTCAAGGGCATGGTGCCATGCTCAAGGTTATTCCCCTCCATATGTCTGTGTCATTATGTGAGGTCATGATTCAGTTAATATTGAGTGGGTAGTGCACACTATTATTTGTATTGCTTCTGTCTGGGCTGTTCCCCACTCTGGAACTCTAAGTGCAGAAAGTAGGGGCCCACAAAAGACCCTAAACACTTTGCTTCTATAGGATGTCTTACAAAAAATCTCCCCAGAGTCACAGACGCTCTGACTCTGGAAGATAGGCTGCCCCCATCAAATGATTTTTTTTAAAGAATCCTGAAAAAATCATGAAGGAAGACTTGAGTTCCTTCCCCAAGGGTTCCCCAAGCTCTTCTTTCACAAGAGGGCTTGAAAAAAGAAACAAAAGAAAACACCGAAAACAAACTGTGTCTTTGATAGCTGATCTCCCTTAGGCTAGGCAGACGCATACGCAGACCTCCTGTTACCTTCAAGGACACAAGAATCAAGCCAGCACCTTAAAAAGGGAGATTTTATTAACAAAACAAAAAGGTATAATTGATAAAGCATACTTGGTTGCTAGCTCTTACAGAGCATCTAAGAACAGATCAGAACACAAAGAACAATCTCTTTGGGCTGTAGCTTAAATAGGGTGAGTGGGGGCGGGAAGGCACTTGGAATTCACACACAGAAGTTTAACAAAACAACCAAAACAAAGAGAAATACTCTGACACTAAATATACACAAAGGAAGAGCAGCCAGATATCTATATACAATTCAGATGTCATCCGTTTTTCCCATTGGCTTCCCAGGCTTTGGACCATCCCAACACCCCTAATAGCGACCTGAATTTAATCCTTTAGTCACCGGGTGCTAGCTAGCACTCCTATTCATCACAGCTTCCAGATGCCTTCAGCTAAATTTAAAAATGTGCAACAATATGTAATGGTGTCTAAAAACTGCAATAGCAGAAGGTGTCGTTTCAGAACTAAAAAAAAAAGTTCATTTTTTCTCTCCTTCTTACTGTGATTTTTTGGTTTGAATGTAGTGCCTCTGCAGCATGCCTGACTGAGAGGCTAGGAGTCTCAATTCCTTTGTTTATCCACAGAACAGGCAAGAAACACAACATACAGTAAAACCTGTGTTATCCGGCACACTCGGGGATTAGGGTGTTCTGGTTATCTAAAAATTCTGGTTGTCTGAGGGTCCCATCAACCAAGGAACAACCAATGGACAATAATAGTAAAACTTAAATTATAATATTGGTACAGTAAAACTCCAATAGTCCGGCACTCCTGATAGTTCGGCATCAAAATGGCAAGAGCACAGTGAGTGAGCTTCAGCAAAAAAATGAGTCACAAGGTAACAGCGGCAGCAGCTAAACTGAGCAAAAAGGGTAAAAAAGTCTTAAAAAACCGAAAACATTACAGTATACTGTATACAGTATGTACAATAAAAAGGGTTAAGAACACTTTATATACAGTATATAATGTATACAGTATATATATAAAACCAGTTTATAGTACCTCCTGATAGTCCGGCATATCTGATAATCCAGCACCACCTAGGTCCCATAGACTCATAGAATCATAGAATAATAGGACTGGAAGGGACCTCGAGAGGTCATCGAGTCCAGCCCCCCACCCTCAAGGCAGGATCAAGCTCCGTCTACACCATCCCTGACAGATGTCTATCTAACCTGTTCTTAAATATCTCCAGAGAGGGAGATTCCACCACCTCCCTTGGCAATTTATTCCAATATTTGACCACCCTAACAGTTAGGAATTTTTTCCTAATGTCCAATCTAAACCTCCCCTGCTGCACTTTAAGCCCATTACTCCATGTCCTGTCCTCAGAAACCAAGAGGAACAAATTTTCGCCTTCCTCCTTGTGACACCCTTTTAGATATTTGAAAACCACTATCATGTCCCCCCTTAATCTTCTTTTTTCCAAACTAAACAAGCCCAGTTCATGAAGCCTGGCTTCATAGGCTTCTCTAGACCTTTAATCATTCTTGTCACTCTTCTCTGTACCCTTTCCAATTTCTCCACATCTTTCTTGAAATGTGGCGCCCAGAACTGGACACAGTACTCCAGCTGAGGCCTAACTAGTGCAGAATAGAGCGGCAGAATGACTTCACGAGTTTTGCTTACAACACACCTGTTGATACAACCTAGAATCATATTTGCTTTTTTTGCAACAGCATCACACTGTTGACTCATATTCAACTTGTGGTCCACTATGACCCCTAGATCCCTTTCCGCCATGCTCCTTCCTAGACAGTCGCTTCCCATCTTGTATGTATGGAACTGATTGTTCCTTCCTAAGTGGAGCACTTTGCATTTCTCCTTATTAAACCTCATCCTGTTTACCTCTGTTTGTAGTGTGAGACAGTTGGTCTCATTTCTATTTTGAGCTGAAGATGATTAGTACTTCTTAAATAAAAAAATTGTTAAGCCAATCATGGCTAAACTAAGCCAGGCCTGTGCGCCTGAAGATGTGACAGTATTGTGTTTGGGGGCAATGCCAGTTAACAAAGTTGTCTGGTTAACAGAGTGCCGGATAACAAAGGTTTCACTGTAGCTGCATCAGTTTCAACGCGAATGGGTGTTATCATTCAGTCAACACCCTACATTGAGTAAATTCATTTTTCCAATTCCATTCAGTGTTCAGCCTCTCACTGAGATTCCCAGTGAGGGGGCCAATTAGTTCCAGTTTGGGAGACACAGATTCCTTTCAGCTCTGTTGAGTATCCACACAACCGGTTGAAGTCAAGGATGTCAGTGCTCCACACCTCCGAAATAAGGCCCTTCATGTTCAGCGAAACCCTTTCACTAAAGATAGCACGTAAGAGCAGTTCCAACCATACACAGATTCATACTAACAGCCTACCTCAGTGGCAACTCCCTAGTCCTCCAGATTGGACCCGTTTTTTAAATTTCGGTTGGTGAAAATACTCCTTAAAAGTATTTTCCAGAATCCAATGAAATCAATAGCAAGTCTCCATTTAACATCACGAGTCCTAGCATAAGTCTTTAAAAGAAGAAAACTTAGCGAGTAGGAAATTTCCTACTGCTACTGAATTAACCAAATATTCCTCTTCATGAGGCAGTAGAGTTCAGAGGAGAAGAAAATGACTGTGAGGGGAAAAGAAGCTAATCAGCATGCAAAGGATGACAAGGAAACTACAGGGCAGCTTTGCAAACTCCAAAGGATGGGAAGTATTTCTTCCCAGCGGAAGGCATCCTCTTATTTAAATGAGATGAGCTAGAACGAAAGCTTTTTTTCTTCTTTTTCTTTTTCAGGCAATGCATGTGGAAAACATGTGATAATGAAGGGACCTGAATGAAACACTTTATTCCTTCACACATTCTTCTGTTTCCAGTCCCAGAGAGTGAAGCAAACAGCTTTTGATTAAGAAAGAAAAAGTGTTGATCCTGATTGGAACAGACAAAAGAATTTTCTATTCCAGAGCCTCTATTTAAACACTGACTCTTGGCAGGACAGAGCTAACTCAATGCACTAGCAGTGTTGGTTATTAGAGCTTCATCACATGGCAATAGCCCAGCAAGTTCAAAACCAGACTTCATCCCTGGAATTGAAAGACATGCCAGAAGCAGATAGGTCGCACTCTTCAAAAGATGGCAAAGTAATTGCCTTGCAGAGGGACGTTAAAATCTGTTGGCAGACCTTTCAGGGATCCCGCAGGTCTCGCTGATTATTGCTGGATTCAGAGAGAGACATCACCGGGGTACACAGGAGCCTTTTAGTTTCACACTCTACATAGATAGCAGGCATTACTGGGGCTTTGACATGAGTTTAAAACTTTGGTATTTTAAGCCCAGAATATACATAAAAAATCACCATGTGCCAATACCCAGGATTTTTGTTTAAGTTTATCATTAAAGATCAAGAGTGCAACCTTTCTGGGAGATGATAAAAGTTGCTTGTCTGGATCTTCCCTTTTAATTTAATCTGACCTCTGGCAGTGGCTGACATTGCTGAGCACTAACATAATATCAGTCATTTTAAATTAATGGCGGAGAAAAATGTTACATTTAAAATTTGAGGTCAGTCAGAGATTTTAGTTTAACGGCTGCCCAGAGGTGTTGAGAAGCCTCCGATTGCAGACACTGCTGCTCACACTTTGGTTGGTGGAGGTCAGAAACATGTCGGGCACCGGTTTAAATCCAGTAATATTTGTCAGGATGGCTTAGCTGGTGGGTGGATGGTCACCTTCAGAGCAGAGAAATAGCAACGGCTGTGCCAGCTGTAGTCTCACAAGGAACTAGTGACTCAGCCTGGTTGTGTTGAGATGTTCCCATAAAAGGATCACTCTTGTCTGTGTAAGACACTGTGATCTTGCTTTCATGGGATAAAAATTCAGGAGAATTCAATCTGGACATCTCCTCTTACATAGGAGGCTGGACTAGATGACCTCTTCACATCTCCTCCAGACCGAATCTTCTGTGATTCTATGAGTCTTAGACTCTAAGGCCAGAATGGACTCTTGTGATCACCTAATTTGGTCTCCTGTAAAATAATTCCTGGAGCAAAAATAATTATTCCCCCCAAATAATGCCTGGAGAAAACAATTCAGTCTGAACCCATTGATCCCATTGCAATCAATGGCAAAACTTTATTCTTTGAGTTAAAGGCATTCGGTGCCAGGAGTCTAAGGTTTGGTTTGCATGTCCAAATTGGGGATTTGTGCATCCTAACAAGGCACCGTTAGTTTAAAAATGAACCTAATATACATGCTTATTCATATCTAAAACAAACTCTCTGGCTACATCTACACTGGCATGATTTACAATGGAAAAGTTTTCCGTTAAAAGCATTTTCGGAAAAGCACGTCTTGATTGGCAGGATGCTTTTCCGCAAAAGCACTTTTTGCGGAAAAGCATCTGTGGCCAATGTAGACGCGGTATTCCGCCAAAAAGTCCCGATCGCCATTTTCGCAATCGGGGCTTTTTTTGCGGAAAACAGTACTATGCTTTCTACACTGGCCCTTTTGCGCAAAAGTCTTTCGGAAAAAGATTTTTGCCCGAACAGGAACAGCATAGTATTTCCGGAAAAGCAGTGATGATTTTACATGAGATCTTCAGTGCTTTTCTGGAAATTCAAGCAGCCAGTGTAGACAGCTGGCAAGTTTTTCTGCAAAATCATCTGATTTTGCGGAAAAACTTGCCAGTCTAGACACAGCCTTTGTGTGTAGCAGATTAGGCCTATTTCATAACACCCTCTTCTTATCAGACGAAGTTTTGTTCTATTCTGTCAGCTCACTCCATGGGATTCAACCAAGTTCTCTTAAGGAATTCAGGAAAGTTATTTCTCAGCGGAGGTACTTTCTTTTATTCAGCAATGACCACATGAACAAAACATGGTCAAATTCTTCCAGACTCTTAACTTCAAATCTGTTGTAGCATAGCAGTCTTTCCCCCCAAATTAGTCTCTCACACCAGAAGTTCCTGTGGTTATATTTTCTGGCTCTTACTTCAGTAATTCAGAACTTCCAACCAGTTCCTGCCTCCTGTCTGTTTTTGGTTTTCTGGAGCTATCATCAGTAATGTGGTAGTCAGGATTCACCAGTGTGGCGTCCTGTCAAATCTCCTGCTTTGTCAATGATAGTAACCAATCAGCTGCATGTGTTCATTCATTTGGTCCCCGTTCACTGTGTTGACCAGTCAACACCACAGACTCTGAGTTCTGGCCTACACTAGAGAGTTATTTCAAAATACTAAGCAGAACATCCACGCCACCACAGATATAAACAAGTTACACATCACCCCTCATGTATCAGGTTGCTACCCTCTGACCTTACCTAGATCTACCCCATTACCTTGCACATGGGGGGAGGGGGGGTTTGATCACTATCTATCAAGCTGTCAATTTGGACCCTCTCCTGAACCAGGACGGGTATGCTCCTGGTATCTGTGGGGTGTGTGTTGGTACTAAGATGTTTCTTAACAATGCGTTCTGAATTACTGGAATGCATTTAAAGCCAGTGCCTAGTACCTCTTAGGTCTCAGTATTTCTGTAATATCAGCCCTGTTCTTGCCAGCTTCTGTGAACAGGGTCTGCCTATTGCTCACAGTATCACTCTGATTTATATTAGCAAACCATTGCTGTCTGGGCCTCATGCGTCATACCTGGCCTGTGATACGTGTGCTTATGTTTCAAGCCCTCCTCTTACTACACATAAGTCCAGCATCAGTCCATTACCTCTGATCACTCAATTTCATGCAGGATGTAACAGTCCCTGCTGCTCCATTCTTTCTTGCTGTCCTTTTTCATAAGGACAAGTCAATTAAGTTCTGCCTTCTTCTTTGGTGTTGTGGGAGCGTGGGGGTTAATCAGCCAGCTCAAAACCTCTGACCCCAAAGGAATTCTATTGTTTATTCCTTCAGAATGGACCAGCTCCTTATCTGGTGTCTATCATCTCAAGCTCCATGGATTTCAAGAAAATGATGTTGATTTTCACCAGATGAGGAGCTGGCCTGATATATTTTTACAAGACACATGTCCCTAGTCCATCACTCCCTCCCACAGAAATTCTTATGCAGACGGTCGTTTGGTGATACTCTTGCTGACATATCTGTGATGAAATATTTTGAAAAGTTCAGTCAGCAACTGACAAAAGCCCGGAACTGAAAGTGTGAAATAATGTCAAATATTTTGCCAACCAGAACTATTCACAGCTAGGAAAATGACATGTAGCACTAATATTTTGAAATAGTCAATTGCATGCATATTTGTTTCCAGGTTTGTTCTGTACTACCCAGAGAATAAAGAAATGAACATGTTTTATCACTTCTCAGAGAGCATTGCCAGCATTTTTTCTTCTTACTGCTGCTCAGTAGCAGCATCACCTCATGCTCTCTCTACCCCCTGCCAAAGTTCTTTTTTTAAGTGGGTACCACAGAGGGGACAGTAGTCTAAGGTGTTCTTGTGCATGATTAATCAGCGAAAGAAATAATTGTTAATTTCTGTTAATTCCTGTTAGTTAATTGTTAATTACTAGTTCCTGTAAACAAATCATCATTCATATCACAGAACTGAAGAGTACTTCATCCTACACTGCAGCCTCATGTGCTACATGCAAGGTATTACAAACACACACCACTGGATTCTGGGTGTTTTGCCTAGCCTGTCTGATCCCGCTCAAGTGGAATTCACAGACAGTTCAATTGCACCCTGAGGCACAACATGGGGCAAATGGTAATGCGTAACTTAAACTGCCCTAGGAATATCTTTATTAGAACCTGGGGAGACAAGGTGGCTGAGGTAATATCTTATGTTGGATCCATTTCTGTTGGCTAGAGAGACGAGCTTATGAGCTTTCTGGAACTGTTCCTATCAGCAGCAACTACATCATGAGTCCATCACACCCCTGACCACTCAGTTTACTTCTGGATGTAACAGTTCCTTCTGCTCCATTCTCCTCCATCTTCTCTTGCTGTCTTCTTTTCATGAGGACAAGTCAATTAAGTTCTACCTTCTTGGTAGGTGCAGTGGATGAGACTAATCAGACAGCCAGGTCAGCTCTTGACCTCTGACCCCAAAGGAATTCTATTGTTTATTCCCGCAAAATGAACCAGTTCTCATCTGGTGTCTATCATCTCAGGTCCAGGATTTTAATAAGATTATGCTGATTTTCACCAGATGAGGAGGCAGCCTGGTAGATTTTCACAAGACACCTGACTCCAATCCATTACACACTTCTACAGAAATTCCTCAAAGCTCTTCTTTGAGTCACATGCAAGGAGACATTGTGCTTCTGAGAGAGTTGTGATCTTCTGGGTCCCTTTGTTACATGGTGGATGGAGAGGGGTATTAAGGATCAAGGGGCATAATGTGGCACCTATATACTATAGTAACAGAGGCCATGTCTACACTAGGAAACTATTTCAAAAATACTAAATTTGACTTCATAAATCCTGATTTAACAAATTCAAACTTGCATGTCCTCACTATGGACTTTTTCACTATGGGGAATCCTCAAAATTAGTCCCAGGCTGGCTCCGTATATGTTATTCCTGATGAAAAGCAGGAGTATAGATTTCATATTCCATGGACTGTTATTTTGAAATGACAGGCTTGGTAGTATGGGCACTCTGCTTATAAATTCTATCTTGGGAGAGGGAGGTTATTTCAAAATGAAGTCCAAGTGCAGATCAGGGCAGAGAGAAAGACTAATCTATCCACATCTATAGCCAGCTACATGCAACCCTGTTCTCATGAGTGGATTCCACCCTAGGATTCTTATGGTTTTCTCCTGTCTGGCTGCTTCTGCCACTCTCTCCCAAAATTCTGTCTCCCACTCTGGAATCAGCAAACAGACTTGTTTTGCAGTAGAAGTGGGAGAAGTGTGTTTAATTCCTCCTACTTAACTACAAAAAGCATGGGCATGATCTAGCCAGTTGCAGGGATGGTGCAGCCTCGTGTTTTCAACATGGCTGCCATTGCTAGAAATGAGATGAAAGCTCTAGAGTCATTCTTCCCTTTCAAATTACAGCCTAATTACCATATAGATCAGCTGGCTCACATTCCCAGGAAACATGTATAGTACTTGTTATTAAAATGCAAGCACTCTTTGAATTTCAGCAGTCACTTGAAAATTGTTAATCTTTTGATTCTTCTTTTGTTTGCTGTAGTTTAGATAAAACAGTGGACAGCCAAGGTGCTAAACCTAAGCAATCATTTGGACACTATTAATGTTCTGGTTATGCCTCTATTTGTTCAGCAGCCCATATTATGCAAAAGAAATCTCAGCTCAAGGATTTTTCTAAATTGAATGTGTTATAGC